GCGTGAGAGGACGAGCTGGTGTCACACGGCCACGTACAGGATTCCGCTTCCACGACGGGCTCAGAAAGACACGGCTCTAGGAGAGGGGGACGGAGCAGTGGCCTTCGGGGTTAGGGTGGGGGGTGACCACAGTGGCAGCGCTGGGGGTGGGGGGTGTGTCTGTCATCCCGATTGTGGCAGCAGCTGCGTAAACCTACACGCCTGTGAACGCTCTTAGAGCCGTACAGCCCCAGAGAATGTTATGGGAAAACATCTTAAAGAAGAAAACACTTTCTTATATTACCATTCAAGATACAGTTAAAAACAGTGTTATCTCAGTGCGTCTGTGCTGCTCTGACAGAACGACACAGACTGGGTCATTTACGATGAACAGACATTTATTGCCTCACGGCTGAGGCGCCAGCATCTGGGGGGGCTCCTGCTGCGTCCTCATGCGACAGGCCAGAGAGCACGGGGGGTCGGCCGCCCTTCTATCGCAGCCCCATCCCACCCCTGAGGGACAGTCCTCCTGGCCGTCCCACCTTGGGCAGGTCCCCCTCTTCCTCCTGTGACAACAGCTGTTCGATTTCAACGTGAGTGTTGGAGGGGACAGACGTTCAAGCCACCCCAAATTCATACCAAAAAGCCACCCCACTATTCAGACGCGATTTGCGGTGGACGGTAGGTAGATTCTAGTAAACACAAAGATGCCAAATGAAGAGGTTTCTGAAGAAAAGTCGCAAGTCGCCGTCCTGTCAGACCGAGTTCTTTCCAGGGACTTGCCTTAGACACTGCAGATGGACGGCGTGCAGGCCAGGCCTCGGAGGTCACCTCTCGTGGGTGTGGGCGGCACGACACGTGCATGGCTGGGTGAGATCGTTGCAAACTCCGCTCAGGGCTGTCTGCGCCCCTGCGGAGAAGGTAAAGCATGTGACCAAGACAGGCAGGGAAGAGCGGCTTGTGGGGCACAAGCCCAGAAGGGACCCCTGGGTAGGTGGCACGTGTGTTCAGACCTGAAAGGTGAGGCTGAGGTCACCCGGGGAGCTGGCCCTGCGGGAGGAGCAGGTGCAGGCTGCTGAGAGAAGGGCCAGAGGGGGCTGGAGCCTGCAGAGGAGGGGACCGTGCACGGAGAGGGAGGGCTGGATAGGTCGTAGGAAACTGTGATGTTGTTTGATGCTGGGGGACCACGGGGGTTTAAGCAGGTGTCTGACCCCCTGGTTTTATGCTTTGGAAGGTCCTTCTGGCCTCTGGGCAGAGGTGGTCAGAGGTGACGGGGTGGTGGTGGAGGGTCCCCTTCCCTCTACTCTGCGGGGTTGGAGGCAGGGGCCGTGAGACCTGCAGCAGCCCAGGCCAGAGATGAGGAGCCACACCCCTGGGGTCACCTGGTGTGGGGGTCGCATTCAGCTCCCTGTGAGGCAGGCACTGTTTGCCGATGGTGTGGCAGGGCGGGGAATCGAGGGTGAGGTGACACACAGAACCGTGCTGATGTGGCACCCCTACTGAGACAGGAAGGCTGGGCAGGTGGTGACGAGTTTATCTTTTTTGGTGGGGGGACAGCTTTCCAGCACAGGCATCTGAACCCTTGACCTCGGTGTTATGACACCGTGCTCTAACCAACTGAGCTAACGGGCCAGCCTAGCCCACCTTTTATATAGTATTTTAAAACTTTTATTAGATACAGATTACACTGTTCACGGATGCCGTACAGAAGTTGAGTTTTTAGCATAGAGAATCTCAGGAAGCTTTAACAGAAGCCAAAATAACCAATAATGCTACTGACCAAATTACTTTCAAAATGTATATCTTTTCACAAATGTTGTCTAAACTTTATTTCTGTTTTTTTATTAAAGGCAAAAGTATAGTCTCATACAGTGAGCATTGCAAAGTCAAACAAACATTGGTGTGTACAGGATGCTTTTTCTCTGGGGCAATATGAGATTTTTTCCAGAAACCT